GTGCAAGTCACAACATCTGCCGAAGACCCTCGGTCGCGCACAGCACAAGCAGCATGAAGGATTCAATTAGTGTTCTAAAAGTAGGTCCGCATTCCCACTGAGTGGGCGTGTTGGAAGTCATACGGACTTTATGTCCAGTGGGACACGGACTTAGACATTCCGCGCGCATTCGCTTATGTAATCACATAGCCACAAGCGCGCTCGATCTTTTCCTGCTACCTCAGCACTCGCATCATACATCGAGGCTGAGGTAAGTACCTACTGGACTCCTTACATACTTTTTACTCATACACTGTAGTCACTCGTTCCTACGTGTCCTACAGGTATTTCTATAGCACTCGCATCATACATCGAGGCTGAGTCACTCGTTTCTATGTGTCTACAGCCCTCGTAAATTTTCACCTCGGACAATACACTGCCATTGTGACGTGACACCCAGTGCTATCTCCACGGCATCATCATTCAATTATGGGCAGGCGGCGTACACAGGATGCCTCGAAGTTTGCCAGCATATCATATTGATTGAACAGTCTGCCCCGAGGAACATGCATGGTATAAAAATAATGTACCTACATACATATGACGAAGGAAATAATCAGCCTTTCGCGACCGTGCAAAGTTCACTGAGACTAGGGCATTCTGGTCGGCTGTTCGTGGCTATGCGAGTTTCAGTTTCATTAAGACTAGAGTATTTGAATGGTGGCTATGTGATCGGATAATTAAGAAGCTATAAGAAGATGTGAGGATCCGTCGAAGTGAGCTCCCCGCGCAATTGGTCCTGGTCTCCACCGGGACGTTGAAAGCAACCGCAGATATACCGAGGAAGCGAGACTACGCCGGCATCAAACTGCAGTCAAGTGAGGTGAGATTGAAGTTGAATGAACACGAACCATAGCTGGAGCTCGCACACGAGGTGGTCAAGTCCTGGTGCTTCGAAACTGCTTCTCTGATGCCATCTTGCGTTACAGCCCGCAGGGAATGGACACTGATGCTCGAGTTGCGAGTCGAGCCTCAAACGGGGCAGAGCTGTCGATGTCCATCCGTACTGCCGTCTTAGAGCACAATATGCCGTGCCGCCCAAGCAACACAATACGCGCGAGAGTAGAGTGCAACTGCATCGCACGAGGCAACTCATGAGCATCCTCTCACTGCAAACGTGAGTGAAGGTCATTCGTGGCCAGGATGAACTGATCGACTCTAGGGAAAGGTCAGCCCGTGGCGGTCGCAAGGCGCTAGAATATGGTGCTTTGCTTGGACGTATATGCGTGATAATTTGAAGCTGCGAGAGAAATTTGCATGCTCAAAAAAGCCGGATCTACCGACGATCAGCTTGTTCAACACCCAATGACCGATCAGAACTATAGCTATAATGGATAACTTACAAAGAGTCAGTTCTCGTGTCATGCTTCCAGAGTTTTCCAATTGGCCAGCATTAGATCACCTATTCTTGTACCTGTATCAATCAGTGGCATCATGCATCCGACGCGCAAGCTTCGTCATGCAACGAAAGGGAATCCGAGGCGCAGTTAGGAAGCATGAATGCCCGGCTATGGGATTGAGTTTGTCGCGGCGTTCACGACAACAGCAGGCAGGCCGCAAATCAACAACGAGCATAGCCTGCAGTTCCGGTCCCTGACAGTTAGGATTCCATATATATATGTTGAATGCAGGTGTCAGGACGGGTCTCATTTTTGGAAAAGTCCAAATGAGCATCCTGATTGGAGGTCAACCAGCATCGGAGCACCCAACAAGCACAGATCATCCAGATGGAACGGCTTTCCCGAGAGGTGCCCTTGGGTCGGGCAGATGAGGCGATTCCTTCAACCTTCGCGGGCTCCGGATATCCTTGTCTGACACCTAAGTCAGCCTTAGATGACAAACACCGCTCAAGAAGAGGCGAGCTAAGCTACTGCCACTTGATGGCTTCAGCACGGATCCTTGATCAAGACGGTGAGTAGTAAGTACATCAGACACACAAGGCCACATCGCGTGCCCCGAAGAGTCCAATTCAATGCTGCTGACATCAGAGGTCACCGGTCACCGGTCACCCTGAGAGCATCATCCACATTTTTCGCAAGGACAGCCGAGGTAACAGTAGATTAGAGTTGTGTTCAGGAATCAGGTGCGCTCCATACTACATTGTGAAGGATCTCAGGAACTCCTGGGTCCGCTCTCGTCCTAACCCGTCAGGGTTCTTTAGCTTAAGTGGAGGAGTAAAGATCAACTCGAAACTGAGGGGTAGGCCTCAGCTCGAGTGGGTATATATACAAGAGGGGCCAGACCCCTGGTACCGGGTGTAAGACCCTGCGTATCCTAGGTTTGTAATAATACATCATTATGGCGTGCTATGGCGTGCTCAGGCCTAGTGGAGTCCGTCTAAGTCTAGGAGTGTCTATGGAGTCCAGGCCTATGATGTCACTATGACGTAGGGTCACGTGACTGATACATGTCCGAGGGATGTCCGAGTGGCGTGGGTATACTAAGATATACACGTGGAGGCGTAGTGGTACATACTATATATGGTATCTGGGTGGATAAATAATGGTTCGTGGGCGCTTGAGACTTGTGGCGCGGAAAAACCGTGACAGTATTCCCCCTCCAGGCCGAAGTGTCCTCACGAGGCTTGAATTCTAGTCGTAGATGCGTGGGTGTACAGCTTGTAGGTTCCATTTGGTTTTGGGTATTGGTGTCCGAGTACGCTCTGGGTCATATGTGGTATAGTTGGAGACATCCTCTTCCCTCACCAGGGTATCTTTGAAATGCATACGTTGCCAGGGTATTGGTGCATCGTCGAGATAATAGTAGCCATGAGTACACTCTGGGCACTGGACCTTTCCTTCTTCTACGACCCACTGGGCGTTGACGGGGTATACAAATAGATGGTTGTGCGACTTGGGGGTTCCGACGAATAGGACCGTATGGACATAGTGGTCCGGATTCGCTAGCCAAATGCTTACGATGTCGAACTTCTCGGGCAGCCCTATTTCTAGGCCGATCGGGGTACCGAGGGGTACGTGAAGTATGACATGGGCTTGGAACTTGCATTTATACCATCGTATCATTTTGTGATCCCAGTAGATCTTTTCCTTCCACTCTTCTTCTTCTTCCTCCGTCATCTTCCCTCCCTTACTGTCAGGTTCATCGTCGCTTTCTTCATCTTCTTGAGCGCGGATCCTTTGACCACCGGGTATAGTGAGGAGATTAGGCAGTTTGGGCGCCTTGGGGGGTGTAACTTATGGAAGTTATTAAGTAGTAGGATGTAGTCCTTTGCTATCGTAGAGCGGGGTATTCAAGTGTTCTCGGTGTCATCCTTTCCTTTCCATTTGACCAGGTATAATAGTCCAGTTTTGGACTTTTTACTGTCAAGAATTTGGCTAATGGTAGGGGATTCGCCTTCCGGAACGGGTATAGTAGTATCGTCCTTTTGTACGCTAAATTGTGCAGGGTGATAGGGTATTAATAAGGATTCGTGAAAGACAGGGTGTATATGACGCCAAGCGGGTGGTAGCTTAAGTCTGAATGCCGACTTCCCGACCTTTTCTACTATACTAAATGGTCCGCAGCATTTATCGTCCAGCTTCTTGCTTGGTCGAGTGGTTGTAATATTAGTTCCTTCTAGTAGTACCAGATCGCCCTTGGTATAGGTCGCATGGTCTGGGTATTTGCCATCGTGGTACTTCTTCATTATACCCTTCGCTTTAGTAAGGTGATTAGTCGCGTCCTTGGAAAGTTCCTCCATTTCCTTTGTCCATTCTTCGGTGGATTGGTTGCGGGGTTCTTTCCTGATTTCGACTTCTGTATAGGGATGGTATCCGTGCGTAAGGTAAAACGGGGTATAGCCGGTGCTTGCCTGTCTATGGTTTCGGTATGCGAACATAGCAAGGGGTATCTTGGATGGCCAGTCGTCCTGTCTATAGGAAGTATATATCCTCAAGTAGGTCTCTATTTCCTGGTTCATCCGTTCAGTCTGTCCATCCGTCTGAGGGTGGTAGGCAGTAGAAGGATTTCCCTGGACGCCCAACTGTTGGTATACATCCTTGGTAAACGAGGATACGAACTGTGGCCCTCTGTCGGACCATATCCTTTCTGCTAGTCCGTGTGCCGACATTACATGTTTGATGTACAAGTCCGCATAGTCCTTCGAGTTAATCGACTCCGTACAGGGTATAGCGATGAAGTCTTTTGACTTCAAATCTACAAATACAAGGATGGAGTCGTACCCGTCTACAGTAGGTAGTTTTACAATAAGGTCCGTGGAGATGTACTGCCAGTTATGATCTGGGACTGGATTTGGCTCCAAGGGTGCTGACCGATGTTGGTGGTTAGGTTTGGCCTTTTGACAGGTCCCACAACCTTTCACATACGCCGTAACATCCTTGATCATTTCTGGCCACCAGTACGATCGCTTGATTAATTCCATGGTCCTTTCTATTCCTGGGTGTCCCATGAACGCGGCATCGTGGTGGGACTGTATTACTTTGCCGATTATTTCTTGATTATTTGGGATTATGAGAATTTCACCCCCCCCAGAGTGTGCCATCCTCGGCTGACTCAAGCTCCTTTTGAGGCAAAGTTTTCCATAATAAATATTCGGAAGAATGTATGGCGCAGAGGTCACGTATGGCGTCAGTCCCTACGACTTTGGTACTTCGGAACAACTCGGCAGGTAATACGACCTGATTGTCCAAGTGATCCATACCGTCGTCATAGTTTGGACGTCTGCTGAGAGCGTCTGCTGCACTGTTTTTCTTGCCTGGGATATGATGGAGTTCGAAATCGTATTCCACGAGGAAAGACATCCAACGTGCTTGACGGGGGTTGATCTTCTGAGGCTTCCTAAAATATGTTAAATTAAGGTGATCAGTGAAGATCTGTACAGTATGCTTGGCATGTATTAGGTAGTGTCGCCATTCTTCTAAACAATCTACAATGGCCAGAAGTTCTCTATCGTACACTTGATAGTTCTTCTCGGCGTCCTTGAACGACCTACTGTAATATGATACTGGTACCCAAAGATTATCTTGCTTCTGCATAAGAACTGCCCCGAGGGCGAATTGCGAAGCGTCTACTTCTACCATAAATGGGTCCTCGTCCGTAGGTATGTGTACAATTGGGGCCCGATGTAAGGAGGTCCTTGAGACCTTGGAAGGCACTTCGTTCAGTGTCCGTCCATTCCCATTCTCAGTTGCCCGTAAGGTCCGAAAGAGGTTTGGCTAAGGAGCCGAAGCCTTTTACAAAACGTCTATAATAGTTACAAAATCCGAGAAACTGTTGAACGTCCTTCTTGGACCTGGGTTCCGGTCATTCAGCAATGCCCGCAACCTTTGCAGGATCCATGCAAAGTTTCCCATGGCCAATGATGTGACCTAGGTACTCGGTTTCTTCGACATGGAACTCGCATTTTTCAGGTTTGCATGTCAACTTGTGTTCCCGGAGTATTCTAAGTACTTGTTTTACAACCTGGCGATGCTCTTCCATGTCCTTGGTGAATATTAAAATATCGTCCAGGTATACCATAACTTTCCCAGTGAGGATCAGGTCGTGGAAGATATCATTCATCATCATTTGGAACGTTGATGGTGAATTAGTGAGTCCGAAGAACATTACCAGAGGTTCAAACAGACCTCGGTTCATGACGAACGCGGCCTTTTCCTCGTCTCCTTCCTTGATCCGTATGTTATTATATCCCCACCGGATGTCAAGCTTAGAGTAGTACCGGGCTCCCTTAAGCCGGTCGAATAGGTCATTGATTAGAGGGAGCGGGTATTTATTCTTCTTGGTTACTTCATTGAGCCGTCTATAGTCCTGTACCGGCCTTAACTTGCCATCCTTTTTCTTGACAAAGAAGAAGGGGGCGCCCTAGGGGGATTTAGACTGTCGTATGCGACCAGTCTTAAGGTTTTCTTCAAGGAAAATATCCAGAGCTTCTTGTTCTTTTACGCTCATTGGATATACCTTTCCACAGAAAGGTTTCGCGCCGTCTACTAATTCTATGGTGTGATCCCATACTCTGCGTTCAGGAAGCTGATCGAATTCAGCTTCCTCGAAGACTTCCTTATAATTCCAGTATTCTTCTGGAACAACCTCTTGCATGCTCTTGGCTTTGGTACTTTTGCCTTGAGCGATGGCTAGGTCAGTGGCCTTGGTGGCTCGTATGTGTTCGTATTCGAAGAACTGCTTCCGAATGTAGTCACTGTCCAGTGCCAACACCTTATCCCCTTTTTCTAACTTAAGCTCCCCGCAGTTACAACGTGTGAAGCGAAGCGTGCGTTTAGCCCAGTCAATGTCAGGGTTGTGATCTTCTAGCCAATCAAACCCGAGGAACATATCGTGGTCCGAAAGGGTAGTCACATTGAATTGGCGGTGCTCTCTATGGCCTTGGATATGTTATGAAGCGTTCCCTGCTAGAACGTTCAGAACCACGTGTGCTTTCTCACACGTACTAGTCCACAACGTGGACA